CAAACGATTGATTGGACGACGATTCGATGATCCGGAAGTGCAGAAGGATGTGTAAGTTCTCTAGCCGCAGCACAAAAGCGTTTGATTTTTTTTTTTCGTCGTATAATCTCTATGTGAGAACATTCGCTTCAGCACTTCCGGGCAGTGCGCGAAAATTTGGCAGACCAGAAAAAACCGTACAGCGTTCTCATTAATTTCTGCATCAGTACAGGCCATGGCAAATTATCGATCCCTTTATATTTGATACAACTCAACTTCGTAATCCCATGAAACTCCATCGTCCACTGATATACCGATTCAGCACTCAAGAGCTGGGGATGGGACTGCCGTATGATTGCAAAAAATTGGCCTGTACTGGTTCCAGACTGATCGGCCACTGCTCTCTGCTATTACAGTGAAATAATTTTTAAAAGCATGCCTGTTGAGGCTTAGAAGCTGCTTTCCGAAAATTGCTTCACCCATTTCTCCACTTTAATTTTGATATATGTGTAAGGGCTATAACTCTGTTGTAGGAGCTTCTTGTACATTGTAAATACTAAAAGAGGAAAAGCCATAGAAGTCCAGCCAAAATTGCTCGTTCCAAGCAGGACCGACGGGGAAGTTGAAGTTGTGAAGTGGTAATTTGCGGTCGTAGGTTGGCCCAAACATACCACATAAAATAAAGAACTATATCAAAAAACCAAAAGAAATTGAGCACGGCTGAATTCCATATGTTCTAAAGCTGGAAGAATAAAATTTGATAATGAATGGTGGTGGTGGTGGTGGGGAAAACAGTTGGCGTATTAGTGTGATACGGACCTTTTGACAGGTTGAATGATCATGTACTTGGAATATGTAGGATGGTTTATCTGTGTTTCATCGCTTAACTGTAAACACGGGCAGTGCAAGATGTGGTTAGAAGTGGGAATCGTCAGTACAACCCCCTAACTACATGTGAAAACATAAATACCGTGGTATTTAGAATGATACATCAGTAAGAAAAAGGAAGTCTCGGCCGTTTTGATAGAATGTAGAACATTCCTACATGTAACACATAATTTTACAATGAGAAATGAAGCACGTGCTTATACGAAATAAAATTTTTTATTATTTCCAACTACTGCATGACCAGGCGAGGGAGAGGGTGTTGTGGAACGCGTTTACGGTTGTGGATTCTTTGAATTCAGGGAGCAGCCCGGGGTTAGCTACCTGGAAAAGCGTGCATGCGCGTGAGCGCCAACCGATTTCTATTATGCGGGTTTCTTTTGCAAAAAACTGCCAACCATCAAAAAATCAGGAAAAATTTTTTGGAGGTGTCGCTGTTTTGGCGACCTCCACT